GCCAGAATCGATTTTAATCGATGAATCGATTATTAAAACCCAGCCCTACCAATAACTCATGGGATAATAAGGACACTAAAATGAGAGTGCTGGACTCCAAGCTGTCAGTCTGGTGACACAGACAGGCTCTCCTCCACACTGTGCTCATTCATCAGGTGCAACCCCAAACATTGCAGGTAACAGCTGGATTTTCCAGTTTCGGTGCAGCTAGCCAAACAGCACTGAGCCAATGACCGCTAAAGACACAAACAGTGAAAGTAGACAGTATATCCTTGATTTCTTAACATAAAACTCATTAAACGTATTATTAGTTTGAGTGTCCTTAGGCTCCCGAGTTATTGGTTCTACTAGTGAGCTGACATAAACTAATGTAAGTCTACTGACTACAACAAACCAGATGACGACACATCACTGACACAAGACAGAGCTGAAGATGTGTGGTGTTTGTCTCTCACCTCATCTAACCTGTGTAGTGTTGATATGTATTTGTAACTTTCTTCTACAAACACAGTGTATGAAGATGAGAAAACAACTGACTGCAAGCTTTGCTCAAGGGTACAACATGCTTTGTTATCAAGCTGGTGCCTACATGATGGTGGGAATCTCACACCCAGCCCCATTTCACTCCCATAGACAAGACTGTACTCACACAACCTTTGATATTGAAAAGGTTTTAACCTTCTTTCAATGTTTCTCAGACAGTTGGTTTGGTTTCGATGCCAGATGACCCAGGAAAACAAGCTTCAGCGACAACCAAACTCCCCCAGCTGGCACAATACACTTCCAGAGCAACTTCATTGACATCAAGAGTCAACAGCAGGTGGCCAGATAGCGGCATTGCCCTCGACCTTAAAGGAGCAGCAGCATATACAAACTCTACTATGGATAGAGAGCTGTCCTCTAAATCAGAGGCTTCAAAATCACTGTGTGTGAATGGACTTTAAAAGATTGAGTTTGAGATGTGCAACACGTGGAGTTAAAATGGTTGTGGAAGAGAAAGCTGAAGAAAAACTGACAATGTACATGTCACAACCATGAAGCAATGCAGGATGTGGGAGTGGCGACAGCAGCAGAAGAGAACCTGGAGGACCAATGAAGGCAATGAAGGCTCAGGACTGTCCTGAAAAGCAGGAGACTGAGGCCAACTGACTTGGAGGCTGAGAGAGAGAATGGTCCTCGGCATAGCAACAAAAAGAAGATGATGACACACACACACAATGCACTAACCTGCCTACTAACAGGCACACACACACATGCAGTGAAGACTAGCTTATGGTCATGAACATGGCCATGTCTCTCATCACTGTTAAAAATGAAAAGCTTAAATGCTGAGTTCAGCAACTGCTGACAGAGAGGTAACTCTCCAGGTTGCAGGACAATAGGTTGACTATTTAGTAGCCTCTGGTGCTACCGTCAATACACTTAGTGGGTAATAAAATTGTAAGATGCTTTCTAATGATTGAACAATACTACATGAAGTCTTTTATATGGATCTTTGAAACATTCTGTTGTCATCTGTCCTCTCAGCTTGTTGGGTTAAGATTAGACATGTAACCTAGTTGACTGCCATCATGTCAGGGAGAGATTGCTTGATTTAACACGAGTGAACGAAATGTTGCAGATGGTTAAACCTGATCCGGTGCTGTATGCGTGTGAGTGGAGATTCCAACAGACTGCTGAGTTTCCTGTTTGTGATGAACTGGTGAAGCTTGCACAGCGACACACAGACACATCTGATCACATAGAAACAAACTCACTACATCTTACAGCACAAGGGTCCGAGGGAGCTGATGAGTGGGGTTTGATAAAAATGGTACAGAGATGCAGGAAACTGTGCAGCCAGGGTAATTCTACTCAACTCATTGTGTTTACATAGCACCAAATCACAACAGTCGCCTCAAGTTTCCATCCGTCCTAATTCTGACTGGACAAAACTGTTTTCATAGAATACATGTTTCTCTTTCCAAAACTGAACAAAGCAATCGGGGCCATGACTAAAATTAGTGCAACGATACAAACACTGGGAAGAAACTGACATTCCAGGGGTAAAACATTGCAATGAGGTGTTTAGGACCCGTCTGACAGCAAATATTAGTGTTGTAAAAACTGCAGCTGCTAAAAAGCACTTCCATGCCAGTTGACACCAGACTCTCCAGAACTGGGATATCCTGGAGTAATTGTGGGCAGCCAGTAAATCTGATGTGGGGGAAATGAAAGGTCGAGGTGACTCCTACGTCTGATTTCAGACCATGTGAGCATCAGTAAGCCTTTAAAGCAAGAAGCAGTGAATGCAGCTACACATGCCACCTGAAGTTCCCAAGAAAGTTGACCAGAAGTTGACCAGAAAGCAACATTTTTTTATTTTTCAGGATAAAGTGGATCCTGCAATTTAGTTTTGGTTCGCTTTGTTTCTCCAAGATCGCATCAGATGTAAGACCTTCTCTCTGAAAACCATTGCAGCGATCCGATTCATTCCAAAGTGACAAAGAAATGTTTTGCATATGACGTCATATTGCTGCCAGTAGATACCCAAGTATGCTGGGAGAGGCTCCAGTGTCAGCGGTGACACGTGGGAGGGAACCGACTGAACATGACAGACAACAGTGGACAAAAAGGGCCAACAGGAGCCAACAGGCCTTCCTGCAAACAGTAGCAGCAGCTGGGAAGAAATTCTCACTTAACATGAGCTTGTAGGCCATCCAGACTTAACCTTGTGGCTGCCACATTCTGTGTCACTGATCCTTCACAAGCAACCCAATCCCATCCTTAATCCACAGGGTTTAATATGTTGTCAAACCAACCTTTGCAGCTTTAACAGCCTCGACTCCTCTGGTAAGGTTTTATTCTGGTAAGCTTCCTTACAAAGCAGGCCTGCCTCACAGTCTCCACTCTAATTCATCCCAAAGGTGTTGTATCAGGTTCAGGTCAGTGCAGACCAGTCAAGTTCTTCCACACCAAACTCACTCATCCATATCTTTATGGACTTTATGATGTAATGCTTAGATGCAGCTGCTCAGCCATGGAAACCCACTCCACACATTTTTCTGGAGCTAATCTAAACGCCACATGAAGTTTGGATGTCTGAAGCGGTAAATTCTGGTGAGTTGGCAAACCAAGAGCAAAATATGGCCAAGCACCCACTGCCCTGCTCTCTGAGTACGAAGCCTACCACTTCGTGGTTGAGATGCAGTTGTTCCAGATCGCTTCCACTTTGTTGTAATACCACTAACAGCTAACTGTAGAACATTTAGTAGCGAGGAAATTTCCTGACTGGACTTGTTGCACAGGTAGCGTCCTATTATGGTAGCACACTGGAATTCACTGAGCTCCTGTGAGTGATCTATTCTTTCACGAATGTTTGTAGAAGCAGCCTGCGTGCCCCGGTGCTTGATTTAATACACCTGTCACCATGGAAGCAACTGAAACACCTGGATTCACTACACGTACTCTCAGTGTGTACTTTTGTGTGTTGTATGTAAAAATCTACACCATTAGAAGTACATGGTGTGATTGGACCCTTCTTTCTTAACAAAGCCTACTACTTTAATAGACTGGGGGGAAATGAGATCCCAGAAATGTCTTTATTAGAAGCACCAAGTTCTACCAAACACAGCAGACTTCCACAAACAAACACTGGTATGATGGAATCTACTGTGTGTTCCAAGTTGTCATCACACAGAAGATAAACTGGAATAATAAGGACATCATGTTCAAGAGTCGGCCCTGCAAAGTGTGGTTTGAGAGAATGTATGGTCTGCTTTAATAGATGCTAGTGATTATTAGATTATGAACAACTCTCCTAAACACACTTTAAATCCTTCAAAATCATATTTCACTGACGCACTACACAAATAATTTGCATTTCTAACAAAAATATAGCAGCAAATCAACATCTAGGCCTACAGTGTCAATCCAAAGGATGTCAAGAAATCTAAGAATCATTTTTCTTAAAGAAACTGTTTCACCAACAAACTATTTCCTGAAAGGCAAAACAGGAATTTCATCTTACACCAAATTTATAAAAATTGAGCTGACACGGTTTGAACAATATATCTAAAATGTCCTTCTGAAGCAAAAAAGAAAAACACAGCTCATTCTGTGCGTTTCAATTGGAACTGCAGACCATATACTCTCTCTTTGTTATGTAATACAGACATTCTGGTTTGATGATGATGATGATGATGATGATGATGATGATGATGAATGGATTAAAACAAAAGACAGACAAAGTTTTCAGTGGGAGAAAAGTTTCCTCACTCATCCAGGTGACTTGTTCAGTCTGTGTGCTGCACTGTAATGACTACGGAGCAATTAAAAAGGAGGGGCGGGTTAGCGCGCAGCGCAGCCAGCACAGCCACGTGAATGGCCCTACACGCTACAACCTACGCAACCCACGACCCCCCCTCACTCACACTTTACATGTTGAGTGATGTGTTGTATGAGACAGTGGGGAGAGGGAGGGCCGGCAGGTAGAAGACTATCCCTGGAAGGAGAAAGCCAGCAAACAACCGGCTCAGCAGTCACCCCCATTCCACATAACCCAACAAAGTGAATTCAGGGCCCACAGTGTCAACGCCCCGGAGCACCACCGAGTCCACGCAGGAAGTTGAGCAGTAATATGCAGATGGGTGGGAGTTTGAGTTTAATGTTTGATTATTTAATGTTTATTTAATTAATTTAATGTTTTGTGTTCTTCTTCCACAACTTATGAATCCGTCGCTGCACACCGATTTCTAAGGTAAAGATGAAGTTGCTCTACTAGGTTTGTAACATTTGCTGCACTCTACACAATGATAATGAACACATTAATAAAACAAACGATCTGAAGATGTTGAAATAGTATATGGATGGTCTTAACCTGTATGACACCCTTCCCAAGCAAACCAGCAGCTTATAATAGCTGACTGAGAAAATGTTTTTGCATACCGATGTATTATGTCAAGATCTCCATCGAAATCCAAGAGCGACTCTACTTTTCTGTCCTCTCCATCAGGCTCTTCAGTGGCTTGTTTGACTGTTTGGCTGGTTTCACTTTCATGTTCTACGGCACTCCCTGGCTCGTCACATCTTTCTGCCAGGATCACGAACCTAGACACGAAGACTGAAAAGTACACAAGTATACATACTGAAAAAACACGTATTCAGTACAAGTTTAACAATCAGATGATTTGCATTTTGACATGTTTTGAATTTTAATTTTCAAATGACAATTTTGACATTTTATTTCGCTCAGGTCTTCATCTTAGCAGCTTCGATCAGTTACCAAGTACAAAACTGTCACAAACAACTGAGTAATGCTTTACCTTTTTGTCATTTAAAACATGTACATACTATAATTATATTAAAAACACTGATTTGGTCATTGTCACGTTGTGGACAACAGATTCTGTACACAGCAGCAAAAATAAAGCACAATGAACAGTGAACTGCACTGAGGACGGGCAGTTTGACTAAAACCACTCCAAACACTTTCATAATAGTTGTCATGTTTTCTGTTTGTGATTGTTTTTCACTAATTATAAAAAATCAGAATGAGCTGAAACTTCTGGGAAACAGTTTAAGAGGAAACGTGTTCTTAGTCACAACAACCTACAGCTTCAGTATTATGACGCTGTGACAGTGACATCATTATACACACCAGGTTGGCCAACGTTGTTGAGGTGTGTCATAAGGTGGCGTCCACCGGGACGGAGCATGTGAACATCTGACAGCACAGTCTCATGTTGGAAACTGATTTCCTGCATGGATGATCAAACCTAATGCTGGAACTGAAGATCAGTCACCTGCTCACCTGAAAGAAGCGCGAGTTTAGAGACAAAGCAGGGTTAACAGGCTCTGGTTAACTCTGACAGGGAAACTGAGCCGAGCCCCAGAGCAGCCGTTCAAACCTAACAAATGTAGCTGGCATGCTCACGGCAGCCGAGGGCGGACACTACTGACAGGCAGCTTTCTCACAGAGTGAACAGAACCAGAGAGACTGAGGTTCAAACTTAATGCTTTGCATTGACAGTATTAACGCTTATACGTCATCCAGCAGCGGCACATGACTGCTGAGGTGGAGGGGACCAGGCCACGCTGCCCACGGTCACACTGGGAAAGATGGAGATCACGTAAAGAAACGTGATGCAGAGGCCTGCCGATGACCACAAACGGGCATAACATCAGGACGTCACGTACAGCAGCTGTTGAGAGGCGAGCTCAACCCGAGAACTGGATCCCTGCTGTCTGGACACGGCACTTCTAAAATACATTTACTTTATTTATTTTTTAAAAAATGGGGAGGGGTGACGTTAACTCACCAGCAGCGACGCTGTGCTAAACGGCCACGACAGTTGACCCGGATGGAAACCCTCCCCCCGCGCCTGTGGCGCCATCTGCTGTTTCTATACCGTCGTTTCTGTTTGTGCGTGTAAAATAGTTGTTGCAAGCACAAATGTTGCATTTCGAGGGGAAAATTATTTTTGAGCAAACAAAACTCATTACTGCGTCCAAGAAATGCCTTTCAGTGTTTGCTATGATTCACACACACACACACACACACACACACACACACACACACACACACACACACACACACACACACACACACACACACACACAGCCCCTGTCACTCAGTCGTTGGCGTTTGCTCTTGCTCAGATCTCTGCAGACCTGCTCTCAGTGTGTCGCTCCCTCTCTTTAAACAGAGGCACAATAATAACAAGCTGGCTTTAAATTATTACAACCAACTGCTGAAGCAACCTAAGGGATATATACAAAACAAAAAAGAAACAAAAATCTAAAAGGCAATGCGACTCTTTACTCAGTAGAAGAGCTGGCACAGTAGCTATAAGTGTTTTTGTGCGAGTGTGTCAGAGACAGAGCAAGCGTGTCTATGTGACCAAATTATTTATTGAGCTTTAAATGGACTCACACTTTACTGCACACGTCACCGTTTCAATTCATGTCATCACCGAGGAATAAGTTCAGGAATCCAGTGGAAACAAAATGAAGCATACACATGGACGGGAAGGTTACACATATAGGTCAGCACTAACTACCAAAGGATCGAATGTTAGATTGCATGAATGAAGTAATTTGTCTTCTAGCAGTTTTCCTGTTTAAGGGCTTTTATATGTTGTGTCTAACTTGTCTTCAGAAGAATTCAGTCGTAGCTTAAAGATAATTCAAAGACAGCATATTTCTAATGTTTTTCTTAGCATTTCATTAAAATGAGCAATTTTAGAATTACTGGGCAAAATTACTAAATTGAAGTGTGAGTATAATTCTCTGCTTAGCAAACAAGTTTGCCTTCAAATCACTAAGTGTAAGCAAACTTTTTTTGAATTGGGTGATAAGCCTCATATGTTACTTGCAAGATTACTTAGAAAAACACAAGCATCACAAACGATACTATCGATCAGTAACAAACATGGGCGGACCACTAGAAACCCCCAAGAAATAAACAAGTGTTTTGAAGATTTTTATCGTGATCTTTATAGCTCTAAGAGTTCTGCGAGTCAGTCATTAATTGAGGAAAAAATCATTCCTGTCCACTATGAGATGAAGGAGAACAACAGCCTGATACCTGCAGGCCTGACAGCAGCAGATGTGTCACTGCTGTAACACCTGTAACACTCAGCAGCGCCTCATTGTTCTGACACACACAACAATTCACATACAACTAATACATCAAGACTACACATAACTACACCTATACACATACACACATAACTACACACTAACTACACACTAACTACACACCATACACACTACACACCTAACACACCTCATACATAACTACACCTATCACATACACACATAACTACACACTACTACACTAACACACACTAACTACACACTAACTACACACTACACACTCACACACTCAACCTACACACTCACTACACACTAACTACACACTAACTACACACTAACTACACACTATACACTACTACCCTCACACACATATACACACTACACACTCACTACACACTCACTACACACTAACTACACACTCACTACACACTCACTACACACCTACACACTAACACACCTCACTACACACTCACCACCTCCAACACAAACTACCAACTGACTACACACTAACTACACACTCACTACACACTAACTACACACTCACTACAATACTACACTCACTACACACTAACTACACACTCATACATACTACACCTACACCTACACACTGAACACTAACTACACATAACCATACACACTGCTACTGACACACATAACTACACACTAAAACTGACCATACACACTCACCTACTACACACTCACTACAATAACACACATACTACATACACACCTAACTACACACTCACTACACACTAACTACACACTACTACCTCACACACTAGACTACACACTCACTACACACTCACTACACACTCACTACACACTCACACTACTACACATCACTACACACTAACTACACACTCAACCTACTACACCTCACTACACACTAACTACACACTAACTAACACACTAACTACACACTCACTACACACTACTACACACTAACTACACACTCACTACACACTAACTACACACTACTACACACTCACTACACACTACTACACACTCACTACACACTAACTACACACTAACTACACACTATACATAACACACCTAACTACACACTCACTACACACTTCCTGACTACACACTCACTACACACTAACTACACACTACTACACACTCACTACACACTGACTACACACTACTACACACTCACTACACACTCACTACACACTCACTACACACTAACTACACACTCAACTACACACTAACTACACACTCACTACACACTAACTACACACTCACTACACACTAACTACACACTCACTACACACTACTACACACTCACTACACACTAACTACACACTAACTACACACTGACTACACACTCACTACACACTGACTACACACTAACTACACACTACTACACACTAACTACACACTCACACACTACTACACCTCACTACACACTCTAATAACACTAACTCACACACCCATCACAGACTACACACTCACACTCACACACACTAACTACACACTACTACACACTATACACATACACACATACTACCATACACACTAACTACACACTCACTACACACTCTACTACACACATACTACACACTAGACTACACACTCACTACACACTACTACACATACTACACACTACACTACACACTAACTACACACTCACTACACACTAACTAACGACTACACACTAACTACACACTCACTACACACTAACTACACACTCACTACACACTCACTACACACTACTACACACTACTACACACTAACTACACACTCACTACACACTCACTACACACTAACTACACACTGACTACACACCACTACACACTAACTACACACTACTACACACCATACACACTAACTACACACTAACTACACACTAACTACACACTAGACTACACACTCACTACACACTAACTACACACTCACTACACACTAACTACACACTCACTACACACTCACTACACACTGACTACACACTAACTACACACTACTCCACACTACACACTCACTACACACTAACTACACACTCACTACCTAACTACACACTACTACACACTGACTACACACTTACACATACACACTGACTACACACTACTACACACTCACTACACACTGACTACACACTACTACATACACACACTAACTACACACTAAACTACACACTAGACTACACACTCACTACACACTAGACTACACACTAACTACACACTCACTACACACTAACTACACACTAACTACACACTAACTACACACTACTACACACTAGACTGCACACTGACACTACACACTAGACTACACACTCACTACACACTCACTACACACTAACTACACACTACTACACACTGACTACACACTAACTACACACTGACTACACACTAACTACACACTTACTACACACTAACTACACACTCACTACACACTACTACACACTCTACACTAACTACACATAACTACACACTACTACACACTCACTACACACTAACTACACACTCACTACACACTCACTACACACTCACTACACACTGACTACACACCTACACCTACACACTACTACACACTGACTACACACTACTACACACTACTACACACTACTACACACTGACACACATACTACACACTCACTACACACTGACTACACACTCTACACATACACACTGACTACACACTCACTACACACTGACTACACACTACTACACACTACTACACACTGACTACACACTGCACTACACACTACTACACACTACTACACACTACTACACACTACTACACAAGATTTGCGCTAAACGTCTCAAATCTCTCACATCTCAAACACCGCGTCACTCCTAAAACTTCCCCCGTTTCTTAACAACTAGATGCCACGTTGCCATATCATTTTTTGATTGGTCGACATGGTACTTTTTTGGACGAATAGGAAAGGGAGAGGGGGGTGGAGTTTGTTTTTGCTCACAGGCTTTCGAGCCTTTTTTCTTATAAAACGCAGTTTTTACCGTTTCTTCCTGCAGTAAATATAAACAACGACAGTATTCAGGAAGAAAACCAAATCATTGCATTTTTTTTATCATAACTCTGGTTTTACGTGGCCGATCAACACAATTTAAAAACTGCTATAAAGTCCACACTTTCTCCGTCAGTTGTTCCATCTGCCCTGCTCACATCTCCAATGGTTGTACACGTTGTCATTAATGTGGCTCACTCCACATCAGCCGCTTTGCTAGCTAAAAGACAGGTGTCGGCACATAAGAATGCTGTCCTAGACCGTCAACCACGTTGATTAGCTGCGTATATACGAATGTAAATCGCATTATTGGCTGGACTATGGGATAAGGTGGCATCGTTCTGATCCCATATGGGAGCAGCCAGTCACTTGACTAACACTGCAAAACAGGAATTGTTAAAGTATTAATTTAATTTCAATTCAGGTTAGATTTTTTTTGTGCGCAACGCAGATTTTCTGTGCGCAGAGACCGTGCCAGCAGTGCGCAATTGCGCATGTGCGCAGCTTAGAGGAACACTGAATTTCAATTCAATTCAATTTTATTTATATAGCGCCAAATCACAACAAAAGTCGCCTCAAGGCGCTTCATAGATACAGAGAAAAACCCAACAATCATATGACCCCCTATGAGCAAGCACTTTGGCGACAGTGGGAAGGAAAAACTCCCTTTTAACAGGAAGAAACCTCCGAGCAGAACCAGGCTCAGGGAGGGGCGGGCCATCTGCTGCTGATGGTTGGGGTGAGAGAAGGAAGACAGGATAAAGACATGCTGTGGAAGAGAGACAGAGGTTAATAACAGATATGATTCAATGCAGAGAGGTCTGTTAACACATAGTGAGTGA